ATAATTCTATATGACAATTACTCTCTAATGGAGTTGTCTCTTTAGAATATGTAAAGTCTGGAAACAACATTACGAATCTGCTAATGAAAAGGTTAAATCGAGAGTTCGTAGAAAAGTCGTCAAGATAAATGAGGTTAAGGCCTTTAACAAGTGTTGTCGGAATGAAAAACCCAACCTAGTTGACTGGAGATCCCAAGATTTAGGTTCAAAGGAACAACTTAATTACGTGTAATGGGTGAGTCACTGAAGAGGTAAATCCTTTTGCCCATTCATTTATACAGTGATATCCTGTGGAGTGAAAGGTTAAGCTGATGCTTTTAATGACCTAAGTGTTGTGAATAGTCAATTGTGGTATAACGAGATACCTTATGTAGGTTACCTGTGTGAGTGTGAAGAGGGGCCGCTTCTTTAAGAATTGACAAGACCAAATTCTTTAAAAACACTCACTGAACCAAGCTAGTGTTTAGGGCCAAACCGAACATAATAGTGAGAACAGAACAATGGTTAGAGTGACTCTTGTGTGAGTCTATTGTCTCGGTTTACACAAACGGAAGAATAGTTCAAGATATCACGTTCACTAGTTAACTAGTAAATCCAACAGGCTTTCATTACAAAAGGTTCAAGGGCAACAACTGCCTTTTCTAATACAGGTTAATCTGTGTGCTCTCTTTTTGAGTCTTTGTTGTTAAACGTTGTCTGTTTTTCATTATTTTATCAATTTTTATTCATGTAGGGAATTGTTAGAAAAAATGGTTTTATGGTGACTTTAATGTGAAATTAAAAAGGGTCTCAACCACTGGTTGAGATGTGTGTTAGTGGGTCTAGATTCTTTGCAATATGATCTTTAGACCGTAAAAAGAATGGCAAAAAATATTAAGATTTGATTGAGAAATTGTCTTACAAAACTGGCCTCATGAATGAGGTATTGGAGAATGTGTGTAACCATCTATCCCGCATTGATTATAAAGGAAAACATTGATGGGTATTTAAATCCCAAGTTTTTTATAAGGGTGTGAGCCCTTTAGGGCATCCAAATTTTTTTGAAGGAAGGGAGTTATGGATGCTTCAAGGATGGACTTGGGCCAAGACTATGAACCAAGTTGGTTATGCAAAATGCCACACGCGCATTACCTGCCTGCCTAGACTGGTCTGAGTCCGAGTTCGTGGTTTGTGGGCCGTGGATCTTGAGCTTGGGCTTGAGACTTGCTAGGTTGGATAAGGTTTGGGTTGGGCCGGATTGGTAGCCTATTAATCCTAATCTTTTTTGGACTAGGTCAGATAGTGGTGGCTGCTAATACAAATATACACACATGTGTATTTCTTGTACAATCTCTACACTTAAGATGGGTTTTACTGCATTAGTTTTGCATAATTCATTTCTACATTAGTTGCTATCTTTTTCCCTTGTGTATTTCTAGCTATATTATCATTAGTCTACATATATTATTCGTCCTAGTGTGAGAGAGTGCTACTATCGTCGAAGTTTGTCGTGCTTCTGCTTTAGCTGGTTCCGACCATCATATCTTGGGAAACAGACACCAGTATACCTCTTGCACCGTACGATCAGGCAACGAATCTATCTTAAGGAAATTGTGGTTACATAGACTTCTGTTTGCATTTCTATTTACTATTTTATTCCATACTATGTTGGGTTTGTACTTCTATTCTTCAAAGTGTAATGTCCAATTTATATTAGTTACATTATTTCTTGTTCTATAATCTGAATTTATTTGTTTATGAATCTGTCTATTTTAATATAAATTTACATTTTGGATAACAAGTAGTACTTATGCAAAGATGACAATGGAGGAGGTTGTATTGGTGGCTGTGGTTCTGATGGTGGAAGGGTGGTGGCAATGACAATAGCTGTAGTGATGGTGTGACAATTATGGTGGTGGTGGCAGTAATAGTTGTTGTAGGAGTGGTAGCAATGGCAATAACTATAGTGGTGGCGTGATAGTTGTAGTGGTGTTTGTAGTGGTAGTTGTGGTAGGAGTGGTGGAAGTGACGGTGGCAATAGTTGTAGTTGTGGCATATTGACGGCGGCAACGGTAGGAGTAGTGATGGTGATGGCAGCGGCAGTGAAGTTATAACCATGTATGTTGACACATGTGCATAACTATTTATAAATTCAGTCAGAATTAAGTAATTTTCTATTACTTAATTTTTTTTAACTTTTAGCCTACATTTTAAGAGACATTTAAAATTTTAAGTGATACCAATTGTAGTTATCAAATGGCTAAATTAATTTTTACTTAATACATTCAGTTTGAAGTGCTGAATTAGGTTATCAAACACCCCTAACCTTAAAATCGTATTAAAAATTACAAAAATAGGTTTCGTTGAATTAGAAAGAAAATTTGGTAGAAAGTGAAAGTATATAAATAAAAAATTTAAAAAAAATGAAGTGAAAGAAAAGAAATAAAAATTGTTTTTTTATTTTTTTACAAGTATTTGATTATATGATGAAAATTTCATAAGAAAGAGAATGAAAAATTTAAAAGTTTAATTATAAATAACTCACACATTTAATTTTTCTTGAGTTTTCTTGTATATTTTGTAAGAAATTAAAAATTAGTTACAATGATGAATTATAGAAGAAAATTAATTTTACTTTCACCACTTTCAAACTAAAAAAGCTTATAAAAATTTTTTTTTTCCTCACTTTCTTTCTCTGTCATCCTAAACAAACTAGACCTCGGGATTGTTTTGAGAATTAGCTTTTTTAAGTAGTTAGTTTTTTGAATTTTTATGAAAATACATACAAAAAATTAATTAAAAATAATAATTTTTTTGAAGTGATTTTTTGACTAATGAATTGCCAAAATAGGCCTTGAAATTTTGATTAAATGTTGTAGTGACCTATCAGACAATCATAGGAACCATTTGATTAAATTTACTGACAAGTTTGAGATTCTTTCCATTAAATGGTTCTGACAACAAAATGAAAAATAAAAATGTAACCACTCAATATATAGCGAGGCTTAAAAATTACGGTAAATTATGTAAATGGTTCCTGTAATTTACACATATCATTTTGGTCCTTCTAATTTTAATCAACTTGATTTTTATCTTGAATTTTATATTTTGTATTAATTTGATCCAATAGATAAATTCTGTTAAGTATTTGGACGGAAAAGACCCATGTGGACAACATGTGCAGAGTTTTTAAGGGAAAAATAATCGATTTGCTCTCCCTCAATTAAGTCAATGATTTATCCATCTAACTCAGAGTGAGTTAAACTCACTCCCATTTAACTCAATGATATATATATATATATATATGTACACAGAGGAGAGAGAGAGAGAGAGAGAGAGACCCCCTCTAGTCCCTCCTCCTCCTCCACCCCTCCTCCAGCCTCTCCCTCCTCCTCCTCCTTCTCTCTCACTTTTTCGAGTCAATTTCGAGCCAAAAATCTCGAGCTACCAATCGCGATCGATATATATATGTACACAGAGGGGAGAGAGAGAGAGGGCGATGAGGAGGAGGTGCCGTCGAAGAGTTAGGAGAAGGAGAGGGAGATGGTGTCGATGGTCTATGAGAGAAGGCAAGGCAACGTAGGGTGATAGCAAAGCAGTTGATGTCCTAAGTTTGGAATGAAAGAAGTGGGGTGATGGCGTTGTGATTGTAGGAGAGGTAGGGTGATGTGATGGAGAGAAAGCCCTTAAAAATGAGAGAGTTTTAACCAAAACCTTGAACCCTAATCAGTTGAGGCCATCTAGGTCGAAATACAGAGGGGTTCAGCAACGAAAATGAAGCAAATAGGCTGCCAAAATTCGGGACCCTTTCATTAGAAAGGGGGTTTGGTTGGGCACTTATAACACTGCCGAAGAAGGTGCGAGGGCTTATGATTTGAAGAAGCTTGAATTCGAATGCATGGCTGCTTCATAGGAGAAAAGTTACAATCACAATCAAAACTACTCTTCTTCGGTGACATAGGACTTTGAAACTTGTTATCTCACACATCCCCATTTTTGTCCTCGAATTATACTCTTTAGCTTCAGCTTCAACATTGAATGATTTTGTTGTGGACAACACCATTGTTGTTGATGATTAGAAAATGCCTAATCAACAACTCAACCAACAAGGACGGCAACAAAGCAACCATTTTTTCTCTTGCTCCTATTCTCCCTCTCTTTCTTTGTTTTTTTTATTTGCCTTTGTTCATCATGCAAATTTGTACATATGGGGTACATACGGGATTTCAAATTTGGGAATGTGGCTAGGGTTTGTAGGTTGAATTTGTGTTGTGATTTTTGATCTAGGGTTGAAAATTGGATTTTGTTTTGTAATTTTTGATAGTTATGATGCTCTGTTGATGTTGAGATGGTTGTTTGGCTGTGGCAGTGGTAACGAAAGGCAATGGAACGGCAGACGATGGTGGTCAGTGGTTCTGTTCAATCACAAGCAAGGAAGAAGCTAAAAGAGAAAGCAAAATGTTCGTTTTGCCCTTGAAAACGAATCACGTGTCATTCACGTGCAAATTTCCGTCCAATTTCTTGACTTCTGTTTTCAATTGGACCAAAATGATATAGGGTGCAAAATTCAGAATCAAAATCGAGCAAATTGAAATTAGAGGAACCAAAATGACACAACGTGTAAACTATATGGACCATGTGCATAATTTTCCCTAAAAACAAAATTAAAAATAAAAAAAAAATGAAAGAAAAAAATAAAAAGTTACAGTGTAAATTTTCTGCAATTGTAGTTTTTGATATGGCAAATGTACCACTTGAAAATAATTTTTTTTTCCCCTCAAAATCATCATGCATCAAGGTCTTATCCAATTGCTCATCAGCTAACCTTGGATTCTCCAATCTTCTTGTCCCAAACAATTTATTCACCACACAATGAGTTTTTCCAACTGTCACCATGAGAACTATTCCTGTTTGATGTCCTTACATCCAAGTGTAGATCCTAATCTCTCTAGCCACCTTTTAGAGAGCTTGTTTAGGTATTACATTGAATGCTACATTAGTAATTCACTACATCATGTATGAAGCATAGAAGCAACAGAATACAATCATTGTTATAACTTCCATAAGTTTGACAGCCTAGAATTTGAACTGAATGAAACATTAAACTCATGAACAAACCAGTTTTCTTGTATGCTCTTACAAATATGACAAGGGAAGTCTCAACGCAAACACAAAGAAGTACAATACAGGGGTAGAAATTTTCCTTTTCTTTTCAGTTTTCTAGTCTATAATTTTACACGTAATTTGACATTCCGCTCATAATTTTGGGAATCACACATCATTGGAATGCAATTTGTAGCAAATGTCAATGTTCCAAAGGCTCAACAGCAGTCTTGAAAAGAAGGACGTAAACCTTGTCGATTGAGAAGTACAAGAACCCCCCTATGGAATGTGTAACATACGAACCAAAGCTTGTTCCCACTATGCAGTGCCACGCTGGACCATACAATGAGTCGAATTCCTGTGGAGTCAATAGAACACCAATCATAAGCCATCCATATGTCAGAGTCTATAGATCAGATGGTAGGGTGCAAAAAAGTTGAGACAACACAACTAAGTTTTTCTTCGTCTTTTTTTCTTTTTCTTTTTTTGCAACAAGAACAGCATGAAGACTGACAGCAATTAAATATTCTTCCTACCAGTGTCGGGGCACGACACGAAAAGAAACTTTTCCAGTCCTAACACAAAGAATAACAATAAAACAAATTATTGTTGTAACATTACAATATGTAGTCTCAAGTGAAGATAATTTTGTACACAGCTAATGCAATTGTAGCGTATACATAATCTTTGGCACTTTACACAAAGAGGCTGCCTTCAACTTAACCCACATTCTAGATTTTACCATTGCATCAACCAACAACAGTACCTAATGATAAATGGGTTCCTTTGTCACCAAATATCTAAACATTGTAAACAAAACCAAGTTTGAGCCCTAGTAATTCTTTGCATTAGCTAAGATCAAGCATATCATTCAGAATCTTATGAGCTTCTCCCTAGCTATAAGCTAAGAAGCACAGACATGGAGACACATCACAACTCAGACACAACATAGATCCGCCGACAAGTCAATTTTCAAAAATGCACGACACGACATGACATTACACGACACGTGAGGGACCTAAGAAGTAGCCTATACTATTACTGTATTAGAAGGTCTGAAAACAAGTAGACTGCACAATCATGTGAAGAAAATTCATAAAGTACCAAAATAAAATCTGCAAAAGAAAGAAAAATATGTGTAGATATTGGGAGCGAGCAAATCTGAGCCACAGGCTAGGGTGTGGCTAATTTACCAACAATAAGTTTCTAAAGAAATACCATCGAGAAAAAATTGACATAACCAAAACAGTAGGGAGTAGTTGGATTCATTTAGCTTCAGAGCAAGACTGCACGATGAAAGATATGCTATCTTGTTCTTGCATTCATGAACTTAGTTACAAGTTGCAGGCCTAAAGACCAAGGAAAGATCTGATTTTATCTTTCAAGTTTCAACACAAGTATGCCAACGTCAAATAGAATCCATTTTTAAACTAAATCGAGCACACACAAAAAAAAAAACAAAAAAAAAAAGCATGAAAGCTTCAAACAGAGTGAAAAAAAAAAACATTTCTGAGACCTGGTGACTAAAATAAGAGATAAAAACACTTAATGATTGAAACGCATCCTTAATTTCCACGGTTGTATTATAGATTATATTCTAAAATGACAAATCAATGAAATGCTAAGAAGCACGGACACGGATACGGATGCGGACACGGACACAAATGCGGACACGGGGGACATGGTAATTTCAAAAAAATAGAGACACAGACACGGCGGGGATACGGCAATAAAATATGCTTTCATATATTTTATTTGCTACCTAAATTAATATTACGTCCACAAATAATCAATATTAACAAAAATAACTCTAATTCTATTTTTCTTATAATTTAAAAAAGTACTTATAAATTAACACTTACAGCTTATATATATAAATATATATATATATATATATATTTATGAATGATCTATTAAGTATTTAAATTTAAGAAAAAAAATAATAAATATTCAATATTCATCAAAAGCACTCAAGAAAATAAAAAAAAAGACAACTTGGCATGTCCTTAGTATGTCCCCGAAGTATCTCCTGAAAATAAATTAATTAAATAAGGGGACATGGCATATGATGTGTCTCATATGTGTCCCTGTTGTGTCTACATGTCCTCGAAGTGTCCGTGTATCTGACACAGATACAACACTTGTTTTAAAGTGTCACTATTTCATAGATGAAATGTCATCCCAGCTACCAAGGAGACATATACAGGGACCAGTTGCTGATAAATTAATTCACTTGAAAGTAATATTACATAATTAACAACTGAGAGGCGGGAGATGGACTTCATACTGCTGTCCTTCATGTTTGCTGCAACTTCCTACCAAATCTATTGATCACTCACAAAATATCCTTCCCCAAACAACCACCATCTACAAGACTGAAGTGAGTTAATTGCACTTTGTGAAATGAATTGGACCCATGTATTGTCTTTTTCACAATAATTTCCTTCAAACAGGCTTGTAAGCAGTCAAGTTTGATATATATATATATATATATTCTCCAATTACAAAAATATAAAAAACACAGAACTTAAAAGATGACCGCCCTAGTTAAGTTCACCCTCCAAATAAACCTAGAGAATGACTCAATATCACCTCCATAGATATTTACTCAATAACCAATAACATAGATCTTGAAAATTAAAGATAAAAAATAGAGCATTCAATCAGAGAAACAATATTAGAATAACAAAATCACAACCAAGGTAGATACATACATTTTCAGTTCAATACCAGACAACTAAAATATTTGGCAATCTACAAACAAATTCAAAATCACCATTTTTCATATATATTGAAAACCATTCAATCTTAGACAAAAACAATAATGTGTTTGGATGAGGGATTTTGAGAGGGGCTTGTGGCTAAAACGGAATTTCAGGATCCTCAGTATCAAAATCATTTGTTTTGAGTTAAAAAACGATAAGAATCCTCAAATTCTCTCCCAAGGCTTTTAAAAAGGTATGTTCAAAATTGTTGGTATCAATAACTGAGAACATAAGTATTACTGACCATAAGGACACAACCTTCTTCATACCTGGTGCCATGACCATCAAAACCTACTATTTCCATATTCTCATTATTATCAATCTATTTCTTCCACCATAGTTCCTCTGTTTATGCTACCAGCTTGCTTGTTTTTGGTTTTCCAAAAACACTTTTCAAAAAATTCTACTTTCTTGTTTTCCATATTTTTTTGTTTTTACTGAATTTTTTTAATATTTTAAGCAATTTTTTTATTTTTTATTTTTAGACACACCTAACATAAATACACATAAAAAAATATAATTTTTGCGAAAAAAATCTTTTAAAAATTCACTAAATACCAAAAATACAAAAATACAAAAAAAAAAAATACTAGAATTCAGTATATTTTCCGTATTTTTATGTATTTATTAATTTTTTAAAATACTTTTTCACAATTTTTTTGCTTTTTAGATACATCTAAGTAAGGAGCATCTAAAAAAGTAAAAAAAAAAAGCTTAAAAATTTAAAAATATTCACTAGAAACAAAAACAAAAACAAAAACAAAAACAAAAAATTCAAACCAAACACACAGATTGCTGTCATAAGTATTATCAACACCATTATTGCTTCTAAGAATGCAACCAGAAACACATCAAGACAATAAACTTTGAAATGAAGGGATTTTTGTTCCATTCCATCTTAAATCCCTATCACATTGAAATTCCTCAGTAATTACAAATACTTCATTCAAACACACACACACATCCACGAAAGATAGAGAAAAACAAGTGTTAGCTAAAGCTGACAATATTTACCAATTGGACCACTGATATACAAAGTTATTCAATAGTCTTCACTGTGAGAGTTTAAAACAAACCTGTAACAACCAAAATAATAAATTCTATCCTAGATGAAATTATATTACCCAAACTGAGAAAGAGAAAGATTGTCAGCTTAATATTATTCTCATAGTAACTAATAGACCACTTGCATTATGATTATTCCATACCCTCACCATGGGCTCCACATATCAATGCAATGAATTCAAAATTTTTTTTTTTTTTTCCAAGTCTAGGCCCCAATATAGAAATCTTAACTGAGAAAAGAGTGTATATTCTTTTCTTTTCAACTCAATTTAGAATTTCTAAAGAATGGGACCACCTTTAAATGAAATTAAAAAATGCTCTAAAATTTGAAAAATCAAAATTAGCAATCAAAACAAACTATCCAACCTCCAACAGAATAATAAAGATCAAAGAGAAAGATGAAGAAACATTACTACTTTAAGCTTAATCCTGTTAACTAGGCACAAATACTCTATCACTCAACCCTGAGAGTTGAAACTACACGAGTACACCCAAAAAAATAACAACCAACTCATTGTTAGACTGGAAATATATTGAAGATCACAAGCTAGAAGGACATATAGAATGATAAATTTTTGTCTAAAGCCAACAGAAATAACCAAAATGGGCATTCTACATACATCTTTATGCACACTTGTCACTCTAACCATATGAATGAAGAATCCAAAGTGTTTAAACGGAGACTTTAAAAATGCAGATCAAGACTGCAAGATAAACTAAATAAAATGAAGTGGACCATACATAACTAATCAATTAGACCACCAGCATGCAAAGGTACTCAGTAAACAACCAATTTAAAAATTGATACAAAACCATTCAAAAGACTAATAAGTAAATATCACAACCTAGATAAGAGACAAAGAACTGATGAAATTTCAGCTCAAACTAATACTACAACTCCATTGATCTGCCTCCATGCACATTCACTTGAAATTGATTACTTTGATAGTCAAGATGAACAAACCAAGCAAAAACTAATAAATCAAAGAGTAAGAAGTAAAATTATGACAAAGAAAGAAAAGAAAAGTATTTTGAGCTGACTTTGAAACTAAAACTCAATTGGACCCACTCTTTCACAAGTGCAATATCTGTAAATTACATATCTTAGACTAGAAAGTAAGACTTCAAAAAATTGATAATTGAGGATAAAACCAAATATTCTCAACAGAAAAATGTACTCAGTGCCAGTACCCTCTACAGTAAAAAATTCAGAATAAAGAGCACTCAAATAATAATTGTACCTGAATCACAAACTAGCAGACAATTGGACCACCCATATTCAAATTTACAGAATACCCTTTACTGGAAACAAACATACATAAGAAAAACCTCCTTCACTCTCAATCAATCTCAGACTAGAAGGATTACAGACATAAATATGAAAACAATCACCTCAAATAAGCTCATTAATTCTTAGACATAAATAATAATTGTATTTGAATAAAAAAACTAGCAGACAATTGGGCCACCCATGTTCAAATTTACAAAATTCCCTACTGAAAAAAATAAATAAATAAACATTGCATAAATCCCAATTAATCTCAGACATAAAAGGATTGAAACTTCAACCAACAAAGACAGAAATATGAGTATAATATAAGCTCAAGCCATCACTATCTCACAATTGGGGCAACTGTATACAAATTTATTTAATACCCTTCACTCTAAGCATCCAAAATCAACAAATTAGAGCAAACCCATATAACTTTAATCCCAAAAAAGCCACAAAGATCAAAGATGAGAATATTAACGCTGAGAGCTAATTTGATTACCTTCTTGAGGGCAAGGGCTAGGCGTTTGCTGTCAAGCTTTCCAGGCATGGAATCGAGGTTGTCTCTAGCACACCTAAATGCTCTATTTTGCAAAGCCAAAGGCATATCAGAGGCTCTAACACGAATATTGAGTTGCTCATGGTGGTCTTGTTGGTCTATAGCTTTCTTCTTCAGTATCAGACTGTTCAAGAACTTGCTCCTCCTCTCCAACTCTTCCTCTGCTGCGTCCATTTTCTCATTCCTCTCTCTCTCTCTCTCTCTCTCTGTAATGTAAACGACCTGAGTCAGAAGGAGCTTGTGGGTTCCATAGGCTTCAAGGAAAGTTTTGAGGGAAAATGGAGAGAGAGAGAGAGAGAGAGAGAGAGAGAGAGAGAGTGAAAGGACCAGCAAGAAAGAAAGAGACCAACAACAATCTCGATTGCTATGTTTGTTTTTTCACTTTGGCTTTCTCTTTATGAGCTTTTTCAAAATAAATTTTTAATTTCTTTTTAGTTAGACGAGGCCGTTGGACTTGGCGCAGGCCACAAAATTAGTAAAATCTCATCGATTCATATAACATTTTAAAGTACTTTTTTTTATTTATTTCAATGCATGGACGCTAATCAGAGCTGTTTTACAAACGCCGCTTTTAAAGTAGGTTTGATCTCTTAAATTATTATTTTAATTTTAAAAAATATTTAGATTGGATAGATTTATTTTAAAATCGATTTAGGTGATCTGCATCGTTTATTTTTTAAATATTCATACAAAAAATCAAAATAATACGACATTAACAATTATTTATTTGAACTATATTTGTTTTACAAAAATAGATGACAAGTATAATCTTCAGAATACCCATGTATTTTTTGTAAAATAAATTTATTTAAACATATAACTATTAGTTTAAATATGTTTAAATAAATTTATTTAAACTAATAGCTATATGTTTAAATAAATTTATTTAAACATATAGCTATTAGTTTAAATAAATTTATTTAAACATATTTAAACTAATAGTTATATGTTTAAATAAATTTATTTTACAAAAAATGCATGGGTATTTTGAAGATTATACTTGTCATCTATTTTTGTAAAACAAATATAGTTCAAATAAATAATTGTTAATGTCGTATTATTTTGATTTTTTGTATGAATATTTAAAAAATAAACGATGCAGATCACCTAAATCGATTTTAAAATAAATCTATCCAATCTAAATATTTTTTAAAATTAAAATAATAATTTAAGAGATCAAACCTAATTTTGGTGGGGGTGGAGGGGCCGTGGTTGGGGTAGGATTAGTGAACTCCAGGATGAAATCGGCGACAACCTGCCCCTTAATTGCTGTTCGAGGTCGGTTGGAGATGTCAAACTGGCTGAGTTCCACCAACCATTGCATAAGTCTGCCAGAGAGCTCTGGTTACTGCATTACCTTCTTCAAAGGTTGGTCGGTGAGGACCACTATGGAATGGGCTTGGAAGTAAAGACGGAGTCGTCTAGAGGCGGTGACCAAGGCCAAGGACAATTTTTCTAACAGTAGGTAATTCTACTCGCGCCCTTGAGGGCCGACTGATGTAGTAGACCGGCCGTTGAACACAGTCGTCTTCCCTGATAAGAGTTGCACTGACTGCGGTGCTTGAAATGGCTAAGTAGAGGAAGAGGGGTTCGCTAGTGATTACCTGAGAAAGCAGGGGGGATTGGCCATGCACTGCTTCAACTGCTGAAAGGCCTCTTCGGACTCGGTCGTCCATTCAAAAGTTTGCTGAAGAACTTTGAAGAAGGAGAGGCACTTATCCGTTGCGCGGGAAATGAAGCAGTTAAGGGCGGCAACTCGGCCAGTGAGTCTCTGAACTTCCTTAACCGTTCTGGGTGACTGCATTTCAATCAAGGCCTTGATCTTTTCAGGGTTAGCTTCAATGCCCCGCTGATTGACCATGAATCCCAAGAACTTCCCAGATCCTACGCCGAAGGCGCACTTCTCCGGGTTGAGCTTCATTTGGTACTTTCATAGGGTGGAGAAGGTCTCTCGCAGGTCGGTCAGATGGTCAGCGGAGAGTTTGCTCTTGACTAGCATGTCATCGACATATACTTCCATGTTTCGACCGATCTGATGGTGGAAAACGGCGTTGACCAACCGTTGGTAGGTGGCCCCAACATTTTTCAGTCCAAATGGTATCACTTGATAATGGTAGGTGCCTCGGTCGTTAATGAAGAAGGTGTGCTCCCTATTAGATGGGTGCATCAGAATTTGGTTATACCCAGAGAAGGCATCCATGAAGCTGAGCATTTGGTGACCGGTCGTGGCGTCAACCAGTAGATCTATGTAGGGAAGAGGATAACTGTCTTTGGGGCAAGCTCAGCTGAGGTCTAAGTAGTCGACACAGAGTCGCCATTTACCATTGTTCTTGCGGACCAGGACCACGTTTGACAACCATCTAGGGTAGTCCACATTTTTGATGAATTGTGCCTCAAGGAGCTTGTCTACCTCTGCGGCAATGAGAGTATTGCGCTCCGGATGGAAAATACGCTATTTCTGGCGGTAAGGTCGGAAATGGGGTTCAATGTTGAGGCGATGGGTTATGAATGAGGGGTCAATACCCAGCATGTCTGAGTCGGTCCAGGCAAATACATCGTTGTACTCAATCAAGAGGGCAGTAAGGTCGGCCTTTGCTTGGGGGGACAGTTGGCTGCCGATTTTGGCAGTTTTTGCCGGGTTTGTGGGGTCGATGGGAACCTCAACGAGCTCCTCCACAGGTTCCCCTCTGACCAGCTTGTCCTCATCCCTGACGTCAAGTCCCTCAATGATCATTGTCTCTTTCAGTTTGATTTCTTTGAATGAGGTGACATAGTATTCCCTGGCCATGGTCTGTTCTCCCCTTACAGTCCCGACCCCCAGATCGGTGGGAAATTTAATGGCAAGGTGATAAGTTGATGTGATGGCTTGAAAGGCATTTAGAGCGGTGCGGCCAAGGATGATGTTGTAGGCGGCTGGGCAGTCGATAAAAAAGGAAGGTGAGAAACTTTGTAGTCTGTCGTGGGTACTCACTGATTGTGATGGGGAGATCGATAGAGCCAATGGAGGTCACCCGGTCGCTGGTGAAACCGACTAAAGGGGTTTGGAGAGGAGACAGACGTTCCTCCCTAATTTTGAGCTGGTGAAAGTAGTTGAGAAAGATGATGTCTGAAGAACTGCCGTTGTCGATGAGAACTCGTCTGACCTTGTAGTTGGAGAGAAGGACAGAAATGACGAGAGGGTCGTCATGAGGATAACGGATGCCTGTACAGTAGGCGTCCGTGAAGATGATAGGCTCGGTCCACTGCTTGGGCTGTTTGGAGGGTCGGTCGACTGTGGCAACTGCTTTGTCTGAGCCCTGCCTTATCTTTCTGAGTTCTACCCTCTAAGCCGAGCGGGATGGTCCCCTGCAAGCAAGGCCACCTGAAATGACTCTGATTTCTCCAACAGGTGAGGGGGATTGCCTAGCGGTCGAGGCTGCTGTGGAGGGCGATCATAGTCTTGGTTAGGTTGGGCTGGCTGCCGGGGGGTGCGCCGGCAGTTATTTCTGAGGGGCTCAGTTCTTTGCCTCTGCTGAGGGCGGGTGTCCGTGAATCGGCTGAGACGTCCCTGACGTATTAGGGTCTCGACCTGATCTTTGAGGTTAACGCACTCATCGGTGTTATGGCCATGGTCCTAGTGAAAACGGTAATATTTGGACTGGTCTTTCCGATTGGAAGGGGTTCGTGAAGGTTGGGGCCATTTGAGGGGGTAGTCTCGCTAGATCTGATTGAGGACTTGTTCCATGGGGGAGTTAAGGGGTGTGCCGCTCGAATCGACCGGTCGGTCGGACTGGTGCCGATCGGTCAGCTCTAGGTTGGTCGGTATAGTGTGGTGTTTGGCTATTATACTAGGTGTTTCTGAGTTCTGAGTCTTTTCTCTTTTCTCTGGGGGTTGGGTTTTTGGTTATTGGATCTTGTCGGACTGCTAGGAAATCTTCTGCATTCATGTATTTTTGGGCTTTGGAGAGTAGGGCTGCCATAGAGGTCGGGGGGTTTTTAGAGAGGGAGAACAGGAAGTCGGACGACCACAGACCGGCCATGAAAGCCGTAAGGGTGACCTTATCATCGTTTTTCGCCACCTGCAAGGCTTCGGTGTTGAAGCGGGTAACGAAACTACGCAGGGACTCCCCCTTGATCTGGCGAATGTTGAGGAGTTGGGTTGCCGGACGGCTTTGGCGCTGGGCTCCAATAAAATGATTGAGGAAGGAGTCATTGAGATGCTGGAAAGTAGAGACGGAGTCTGCTGGTAACTGGCTAAACCACAGTCGAGCTGACCCCTTCAGTGTCACGGGAAAAGCTCGATACATGATCTCGCCAGGGAATGCATGGAGGATCATGAGGGTTCTGTAGGTCTCCAGATGGCCGACTGGGTCCGTCGTGCCGTCAAAAGAGTCGATGGTAGGCATTTTGAACTTGGGGGGTAGAGGTTTTTCCCTGATGGAGGCAACAAATGGTGATTTGCTGTGGTAGAGGGTTTGTGCTGGATGTTCTGCATGACCCCTTGGAGTTGGAGCTTCATGGCTCGGAGTTCTGTATCCCAGAGAGAGATGTTATCACCACTGGAAGGGAGCGGGGGTTAGACGCTACTGGCTTCCCCCTCAGGGGTTGGTGCCAGGACCGATGGATGTGGGGGTCGAGGTGGTGGATTTATGTGAGGAGGAAGAGGTTGCAGGCCTTCCAAGTTGGGTGGATAAGGCTGCGGGATAGTATGGCTCGGGCACGTTCTTGGTTGGGCGAGATATCTGGAGGTGGTGGAGGAGGCATAGGAGGGTCCCTTTGGAGTAGAGCATTTATCAGGGCTTGGTTTTGCTCGGCCATGCAGTTGATGCTGTTGGTAAGCTCGATGAAATACTGTGGTGGGTTGTTTGGATTAGGGGGGTCGGCTTGATGGTTAGCTGCATTTTGGTAAGAAGCCATGGATCTAGTCGTGACCATACACGTTAATGGGTAGCGGGAAAAGGTTATTGGAACAGGGTCCCCGGCGACAATGAGCACAACTGACGCGCGGAGCAAAACTTTCCCACAGACAGAGCCAGCTGATAATACAGTTACGATACAACGGGTTCCAGAGGGAATGGGTTGGACTGGTCCACGCTTCTCCAACCGATATCTGAATGGCCAAGCCCACCTGAGAACCTGCACAGGAGTTCAACGGGAAACGGGGAGTCCCCCAGCGAACCCTCCAACGATCAAGTTAGAGAGAGAGAAGTGGAATGTAGAGATATGAATTAGAGATAGAAAGCCTACCCTTCTTCTTGTCTCCAACGTCTGCTTATATCCTATGTAATCATTTCGTTGTCCCGTCC